TATTATGAATATTCATCAGTTCTGTAAGTTTCAAGTCAAAAGGTAAAATGGTTTTCCACTTATCGTGTTATCGGTGCTGCATATATGCTGAAAAAAGTGAAAAAACAGCATAAATTCCCTAAAAGTGACCCGATCATGCTGATTTTCGAACTTGACCTGCGTATTATGAATATTCATCAGTTCTGCAAGTTTCAAGTCAAAAGGTAAAATGGTTTTCCACTTATCGTGTTATCGGTAAAAGTGCACGGCGACGACGACGGCGACGACGGCGATGACGACAGACGCAGATGATGGCTATATGTACAGACACATCTGTGTCTGTACATAAAAAGACCCTGCTTAAGTCAATATGTGACCTTAATGTTCACAAAATTATGTGTCATATAAAAAACACCTGAAAGAAGCAGGGATACTAACACTACCCAATAACACATATTCTGCACATTTTTCAACATCCATCCCCATTTTTAATGCATTATACTGTGGTTTTATAAAACATAATTGAGAAACAGATTGATGCAATTTGAGCTCTGTTGTCTTGGCAACTGAAGAAAGGAGTTTCCAGTCTTAAAAATCAATGCAATGCCATCAAACCTGACACAGAAGCGTCTACAGTCTTTAAAAACTTCAGTTACCTGGAAGGAGGCTCCTGGGTCTTCTTCATTCTCATCATCATCATCTTCATCTTCACCGCTGCAACTCTGGAACAGACAAAACTTCAACTTAGGATTGTCAGCTCTACACAGAAATATGTATTCTTTTATTATATATCTGTATCATGTGTTCTATGCATTTCGTGCAACTATGCAATTTATGAGTTATTTGAGCTGATGTAAAGAAGGTGTACGTAACATGTACTACATCATCATATTACTGTATCATATTTATTTTATGCAGTTTATTACTTTTAACTAATTTTCATTTCAGATTGTTTTTCTTTCGTTAATAGAAATGTTTTATAACCAATTTACATATCTTGAGTACTTTATTATTGACAAACAAGTACATATTATCACACAAAATATGGTTGACATACAGTGGTAATAATTAGTCACAGAAAGTGCAGCAAACTTAGATTTCTAGAACTTAATACAATATTCCATCTTAAAAAAAGGAAAAAGTTTCAGTTTCTTTTATCAACACTTTACTGTGCTCAATAATTAGAAATTTCACCTTGCTCATGATTTGTGCAAAGGACATGTAGAGGAAGTTTTCCTGAAGTGTATCCTGCTCCGTGGTGGCAGTACGACTCAAGGCAGTCACCAACTGTGTTAGGGCATCTGGTTTTTCTTCTTCCTCTTCTTCCTTTTTCTCTATATCTTCTTCTTCTGAATGCTAGAACACCAAGGCAAATTAAACTGAGCAAACTCCTGCAGGAAGTCAGAATGAAACTTGAAAATGTTAAAAAATTAAATTAAATTCCACTTAGTGTGCAACTAAAGGTCTGGAAAAAAGGTGGAAAAAATGTCACATAAGTGTATACTGAATTTACACGTTTCATTTTAGCACAGTGTAGTTGCTAAAAGTAAAATGGCATCAGAAAACTTTTTTTTTCTCACTACAAGGATGGTGTGTGTGTGTGTGTGTGTGTGTGTGTGTGTGTGTGTGTGTGTGTGTGTGTGTGTGTGTGTGTGTGTGTGTGTGTGTGTGTCACTCCTGTTTAGTTTATATGAATATATTCTAACTACTTACTGTGAGGTCCTCTATAAGTCTGACTTGACCAATATCTTCCATTATCAGCCACTGTTCTTTGTATGCCTTCATGAACAGGTTGATCACACGATGTCTGGGGGAATGAATTTATGCATCATTTTTAACATTTGAGGTACAAGTTTGTTGGAACATTTCAACATCTACAATATCAAATGAGGCTTCACAGAATGAATCAATAAACCAAGTCTCAATAAAATTTAGTACAGTTCAACCATGTTATGTTTAATAAATTTATTTATATCATTTTTACCACTATCATTTTGTTAAAAAGAATTTTAAACCTGCTCTGTTATTCATTCTAAACATACAATATTTCATGATAATTTCTAAAAGTTTACCTTGGCAGGTTATGAAGTGGCACCATTCTAAAGCATGCCATGACTGCTCTCTTCCTCTGGGTAGAGATCACCTTACGCCAGGCACCCTTATGGGATGGTGGCGGGTGTTCAACCTGAGGAAATGACAAGACATAGTGGGGTGAAACTGGGTCATCTTTATAACTGTGTTCAATTTTATCATACTGAGATCAAGTTTTACATTTTTTTTTTGGTAGGTTGAGGAAATTTGTAAGATTTAACAAATAATATTCTTACAAAATGACAGAAGTATGAATCAAGAGGAAAAAAATGCATAAAGAACAAAGGAGAATACAATAAAATAAATCAAAACACTTATCCTGATCACTGTAAATTTGACAATAGTGATACTAATGAAACAGCATAAATAAACTTGTGTAATCATTGTTACCAGGTGCAAGCCATGGAGAACTCTTGCCATTGACATCACCCTCTCCACAGCATGGTCCAGTGTCATCTCCACCACTCCTGCAAACTTGGTGCGGCCAATCTTCTTGTATAGAACTTTCTGCCACTTGTTGTCATTCTCTTCATTCTGTATTTAAATCAATAAGGATATTGAAATCAGTTTGCAAAAGATACACAAAATGTTAACAAAAATGAAGTCTTAGTTTTAAATTTTAAACAAATATCTGGTTATTGTTCTCCAGAATTTTGTATTTTATTCTAGTAGAATGCAATGGTATTTCATTCAGATGCTCTACATTTCTTTTAATCCAAAGAAATAAATCTTATCTTTACCTCATCTTCCAGCATCAGACTGGACTTGAGAAACTCCTCAATGTCTCCCTCCGGTTCCTTCTAAGACATCAAAAATTTAGCAAAAAGGAAAAAAAGAGAGAGAAAGGCATCAGTGAACGCCATGCACATGCAGATGGGTCAGCAATCACCACCATCACAGCAGTCAGGTCAAATCTACTCCAATCTAATCAAATGTTCATCAAATTTTCAATTTTAGGGAACACCCCAAAACCATTGCAGAAAACAGTTGTATATATAAGCACTGTGTCATGATCCACAGTTTGAGAACTAAATGGTTATTAATAAATGAATATCATATGGACATTGCCTATAAAAGATGCACAACTTGCATCCTGTTAAAAATATGACATATACATATGACATCACAAAACCTAAAGTCTATGACCAATAGCTGCTTTACTGTATCATGAATGCTATATGGTATATACATGTGTAATGTATTTACCCATTGTTATACTATCAAAGCATGGCTGTAGCATACTTGCTCGGCATTAGTCTTGCTTATATAGCTGACTTGATTCATCAACAATATCATACCTTTATACTGCACATTTACATATCCCTTTATTCATGCTAACTACATATTTCCTTTTCTTTTCATCAATAATAAACTAATGATTATTAAGTGCCTATTGTGTTTCATTGCAACATAAATTGTACATGACTTTAATTAATACTCAGACAATGTACAATTTTGCCAAGTTTGATCAAACAACTGCTTTAAAAAGCTAAAAAAAAGTCTATTACAAATAAAACTTAAATTTTCCATTAAGTTATGTTGACTTAACAACATTTATTTCTAAAGTAAAATATAATCTAAAAATACAATCCAGTTTTTATTATTCATCTGAAACTTCTAATAAAAAAGCATACAGAAACTGATGAAATGCTGCAAAATCATCTCAGCATTGACTACTATAAAATGTCTACCAATATGTTCACAATGCATTTGGCATAAACCAATTATGCAAAATACTCTTTACGTTGAATTCTTGCAAAAAATCTACCAACAAAATCTCAACAAAGAAAGCAAACAAACAGACACAAAACTCTCCATCAAAAGGCTGAGCTAGTATCTAATGCTTAAAATCCTACAAGCAAGACAAAAAACAAGGAAAATATCTACACGTACATACATTCATTGAAACCGAAAAGATGCCATATCATTACATACCAGATTGGGGGAGGGGGCTCATAATACCACGTTATCACACCAACAAGTCAGTCAGTTGAAAACAAGGAGTCAAAGGATTTTGAAACATGTCACAGGGCACACAAGCCAAAAAATAGAATAAAATAACAGATCAGAATAGCATTTAAAAATTTCAACGAATTCAACAAGAGGTGTAGGTCCATTGTTTTGTGTCACTCTCTGGACATGAAGAATTTACTTTTCATTCAGTGCCAAAACACAATAAAATCAAAATGTGATTCATCATTGAAGTTCAAAACATTGGAATTTTGGGAAACGAGCAGTTGAGAAGTTGTGTGGTAAGTCAGTGGAAACGGGCATTATGCACGACTTAGTGATCTCTGTCTTTTTGCCATATTTTCAAAGTATAGTGCTGTGGCAGCAGAGATCACTGTATTGATAGGACTGACTTCACACTTACTTAAGCTGTATGCAGCGATAACATTATAAATGTCAAGTTTGATTATTTTTTTAGATATTTATTTTCTTGAAATAATTTTAACTGAAGCTTTAGCTAGAGTATGATTAGATGAAATGACCTAGTTTCAAAATGCACATAGAATGTTCAGACAAAATATCTTAATTTAACCAGAATATATTAGGCATGAGCAAAAAAGGTATAAAGTTTGTATGGATTGTATCATTCACCCTTAAATTTGTCTTTTGATTTCAAAGAAAACAATTTTTAAATAAAAATCGACATCTTTCATGTTATTGCTACTGTCATGCCACCTATAGTCAAGTGTGAAGTACAGATGAGGGTGGAGTGGGAGGACCCCTACACGTGCCTTGTCTGGTGAACTTTCCGCATCCACGGACCACTGGAAGGCAAAATAAAGTTCTGATGTTCAGTCAAATACCCAGATTGAAAAAGAAGAAAATAACACACCATCTCAGCGAAATGACATGTATACTGAATGAACCGTCTTTCTATCAGGGAGTTAAGTGTCCTCCTCAAATTTCTTTTTCAAATATCTGTCTTCATCATTTGGTGCTCTCATGTGTATAACTTGACCAACTAAACTTCCCTTTCATTTTTTCTTGTTTTAGAATAATCTTTATAAAAAAAACAAAAGAGAAGTTTGAATTCAAGGAGCAATACTTAGGACGGCATTTCTTCACTAATTATATGCTTCATACCTGTAATTTGTACAGTCATATAATGTTTTCAACAAAAATAAAAATTGAAAAGGTGTGCAATTTTCAAGAAAAAAGCCTAGACTGCAATAAGCCATTCCTCATAGAGCAAAGGCATCAATTCACAGCTAACCAAAGTTTGCAACTGAACATATAACAGCTAAGTAGGATAAATGCCTATTAAAGACCATGCACAAATTTGTTTCTTGATATCTCTGTTTGGTGCACTGTCATATATATGTATAAGAAGACAATTTTCATGAAAAATGTCATTTCAGATATATTTTTGACTGAAAATCATAATTTAATACAAATTGGTTTGGCTCTTTTTTTTTTTTTTTTTTTTGCCATTTCCTCATTGAATAAATGGGTTCTCCAATGTAATACAAGGCCTACTGTACTGTTCTTAAGTCACTAATATAACATATGCCTAATAAAAATGTGAAAAACATAGGATTTTCTTATGTAACATTTCCAAAGAGGGTGAAAAAATGTTTAAGTCATTCAGTCCAATTTTTATCCAGCAGGGGTATAATAAAAACATGATCACAACTTTAGTTGAATAACCACATTAATTAAATTACAGCAACACATTTTAGTAAACAGATAAATAGACTATATAGTAAATAGACCATATATTTGATTGTTATCAATAAAAGGATAAGGCTGAGGTAAAATTGTTAGAAGAAAATAGAAATGATGTTTCAAATATAAACATGACTTGAATTTAGTTAAAACAAATTTGTTTTAATGGGACATTTCACTGAAAAATATATCAAGGAAAACATGTTAATGAAATTGTTTTTGAACTGACATTGTAAATCAGTTTAAGGAAGAGCAAGCAAAATTAGCTGGAAAAAAAAACATACCAGAGAGCTGTTTGCCATTTTTCCATAGAATTATAGCATAGACTGTACAAAAACACCACAATGACATACTTTTTTTCTTTTCTTTCATACACATATATTTATATTTTTGAAATATTCATTGCATATCCTATCATTGTGTGAGCAATAAATCCACAATAACACCACATATAAACACACACTTAGTATTTTACCTGTATCAGCTTATCCTTTGCCTGTTGAACCAGCTCTTGCTCCCTGCCTCCAAACAGGTTCAACCCTATAGGTAGAAGCCTCTTCAAACAGGCCACATTCAAGCTGGTGTAGCTGTCCATCTTTGGCTTGTGCTTCTTCCTGCCAGACTTGGGAACAGTGCTCTCTTGGTCCTGACTCTGGTTGCCACTGTCTGCTCGCACCACCTGGAGGGATTTTCCTTGCTGACTGGGCATGATTAATGCCATGTTGTCGATCTCGTTCTGGGTGACAAAGTTGTGCTCTTCTCTCTTGAAAAACTGTTCATTAAAAAAAGTGTTATGTAAAACATCCATTAAAATTCTTTCTTAAGTTTTAATTAAAATTAATGAAATTTCAGAAAGAACAAAATACTTTCAGACTTCAGTAAATTTCAGTCTAGTAGTACAGTAAAACATACTAATAAGTTTACATTAAAATATATTAGCCAGTAATAAAAAATAGTTTCTCGTGCATTAGTTTTACTTACAGGTGACTTGGTCCAGTAGGTGAAGATTTCAGCAATACATGTGTACAGCTTCTCTGCACCCACTGTGGGGTTTCTAAGCCAGTGAGACCTGTGCTGGTCCACATACTTGATCAACAGAGGGAAGAAGGCATAGATATCTCTTACCAGGATGTGCATTGCCTGAAATTACAAGAAAAATGTATATTGGTGATAAAATGTAAATAGTCACTAAAAACATCATTGTCATCAGCGTTATTATTATTATTGTTATTATTATGGTGTGTAAACTGTAGACAATATTAAAGGGATAATAACTCTTCGTATGAGATCTATATTTCACAATAAAAACATTGTGAATAACTCATAGAAATATAATATATTCTGTTTTACCACAAAAACGGCAGTTATAGCTATTATTCTGAAATCTGAGCTTGTCTTTAGACCACGTGACCTCCATTGATGGCTATACTCTGTTAAAATCTCTTAAGAGATTTTAACAAAAAACCAAGCTTTTTAGAAAAAAAAACAGGGACTAAATTTGAATGTAAAAATAGATTCATTAACCATTGGTAAGTATGGGAAAATTGTTGTCTACTCCAGGAAAATTCATTTTTTGGCCAAAACGAAGAGTTATTATCCCTTTAATATCATCGTAAATTTTGTATGTAAAGGCCTAAAAAGCACAGGGGCTTGTATTTAGAGGCTTTTATACTCACAACTTCTGCTTTTTAATCTTATCATGATCATTGTTTATATTTGGCATTTAAAGGTTGAAATAATTTAAGTGAACTTGTGTGCTTTGGTCAAGACAACAATAAAATGGTCTACTATTCATTGCATTATATTCTGAATATAAAAGTAATAAATCTTTTAAAATTTAAAATTTCCTGTGAATACAAACATCATGTAGCTGTTCCTCAATCTCAGAGTCTATGTCCTGCTGGTTCCTCTTGATGGCATTGTACTGTTCCTCCAGGAGCTCCACCTTGTGACGGTTATCTGTGATTTTCTCTGCCAGGGGGAGCATGTGCTCCTCCAGCATCTCCAGGGTGGAGTTAGCAATAATTGGTTGGGTACGTGCTGCAAAAATAATGCAATATACAATGGGCCTTTATGTAAATGCATTAAAAGTTTTAAATGTCTGATGGGGTGAAAATAAGAAAACAATATCTTTGTTAATTGGCGCACTAACTGGTATGTTCAAAAGGTCAAAATTCTTTCAGTTTTAAAATTTATGTCTCATTCCTCAAGAAAATTCATAAATGATACCTAATAACATGATTTTTTTTTCTATTTACCACAAACATTACCCGAGTCTCATATATATTTGCAAACTCACTTTCAATATCAGCATGCATGCATACCTCTGGCATTTCCCATAACCAGTGACAAAATGCAAAGTACCTTGCGTTACTGGTTACTGCAAAAGGCATGCTGACAGTGGAAGTTTAAAAAATTCTCTGAAACTCAGGCTGATACAACCTAACACCAAGTCAGTTTTCTTACTTGCAATCCTGTTCATCCAGGGGGCGTTAGGTGTCCCCACATTGTTCTTAATCAGCTTCAGCACATTTCCCAGTACCGCATTCATCAGCTGTGCCGTTACCGTGGTAACATGGTTGCTGGAAGAGGTGTCAAACTGCAAACTGTTTCTTCTGTCAGAGCCATAGTCCTGACTATAATGTTATGACAATTAAGGTAAGCTGTTTCTTGTTTTTAAGTGCTATATTATCTTTATTTTTCATTCTACAAAAAGTTTCTAGCACCTGCATTTTTGCCACAGAAACTACAGCACAATTAGTTTCCTATCTGTTAATAATTAAAACCATCTTATCTTTAGAGGGATGTATAAAAATATAATCTATTTCTCTGACTGAGTTTAACTCTTAACTGACAATAATGAGTTCTAAGAAATTGCCAATGTCAAATATGATTTTAAATATTTAAAGCAGCAAATCACTGTCAAAAAAAATAGTTTTGGTCAGAATTATATTCATCTCTACTTCTACCTCTACCAAGGTACAACATGTGTATTTACCCTTCAGTCAAGTTGACATTATCAGGGCCCTGGGACCACCAGAAAGGCAAGTAGCTGAGAGAGAAATAGGATGAGAACTTTAGAAACTGAGAATAAAGTGAAGAAACATGTAATAATCAGTAATTTTTATGGTATAAGTACTTAGTAATGTGCCCTATTAATGTGAAGAAAAACATTTGTTTGTCAACCAGTATTTAAAATATTCAGTGATCAAATTAATTTACAACACAAGTAGACGGGAGACACAAACACATGTACATGTATTTACCATATACCCACAGCTAAGAATCTGGATTATTTTTAAATATTCACTTATAAAATTGTGCTTTAAAGCACCTTTACTGCACAGATGGACACTTGTCATGATGTGCAAAGAGCTTATATATTAATGGAGAGGTGTTTGGTTTCTTAAAAGAAACAAATAGGAACAAACACGAAGAGTTGGCTAGCCTGGGCCCCGTATCTCAAAAGCATCATGTATTGCAAATAGCAATATCACATAGAGGCTACAATGTATTACATGCATATGGGGCGAGTATGAGTTATGGAATCGAGACGCTTGCGCACAGTCGCAATGCATGATGCTTTCGAGATATGGGGCCCTGGTTATCTGGGGTGCATCATAGTGATCATTTTGTGGTCTATGTGAAGTTTAAGTAAAAGAGTACCTGCACAGCATGGGCAGAGTGACCTCAATGACGTGAGGAGCCTCTTGATATTTGCCGCCGGACTCGGCCAGTTCTTCTATCTCAGCAACAATCTTGTCCAGAGTCGGAAGGTTGTCTGCTAGCTGCTTCATGACATCTGAGGGAGGAAAAAGAAGGCACACTCTATTTGTAAAACTCTACTGTACCTTCCATTTCATTTGATGTTTATTACACATTGCCTTCATTGCAATAAAGAGCAAAAACAATGTTTATTACAGCTAACACAAAGAATACTAGCCAGTCAGAATATTACAGTATATGCAATTAATTTTTTTCGTACATGTATGTAGTGTAAAGCATGCTTACTTGAGTGATATTGTACACCTTTAGCATAATTAAATAAAAAATAAAATCTTTCTAGAAAGTCTCCAGCTGTTACCTTGTGCCTCCAGGGAGTGTTCAGCTATCCTCTCCTCTGTGATTCCGTACAACATGGAGTGTTTATTGTACCTGTTCAGCTGGGGCTCCAGGAATGCCACTGGGAATGTGCTGGCAAAGGAGGCGATGCATTCACCCAGAAGAGGACGATGCCTAGTGGCAGATATAGCAAGAGGTTTATTATTTCTCTACCATTTATCAATTACAGATTTCATCACAGAGAGAGAGAGAGAGAGAGAGAGAGAGGATTGTTTATAAAGATTATTAGATGTCAGCATCAATCCAGAAAGTTTTTTTTTTCAAAGCTGCACACAAAATTACAATGTGTTCAGAAAGGTGCTAAAAACTTCCCAGTTAAAACTTTTAAAGCTCAAGAAAGTAGACTTTGATTGCAACTTCAAAAAATACACTTCACAAAGTATTTTCTTTTAAATTCTGTAGAGTGCAATGCAATTATATGTATTTCATCTATTTATCACCACTATTTCTACTAGATATTATATTCTTTCAGCTCCAGCAGAGGAAATTTTAGCCAAATGCTAACCATCTATCAAAAGTAGAAAATAAAAAGTTGATTTCCTTTGACTACAAAATAAAAGAGAAATCTATGGAAGTGTGTTTAAATGATAACTCACTTCATAAGAAGGAAACACAGCCATGATGTCAAAAAATTTGAATGTTTTAGCTCTGGTGTTTTTAAAAGGGA